TTTACGAATTTTGTTGCTTTAACTTTTTGCCTAAAAACATGAACTGTTTTCCTTTTCAGCAAAGTTTCATAAATTACCATTTAATTTGAGTAAAAATCTTAAAATGTAAAGGAGAACAAATTGATTTGAAGACTGAACTGAAATTACCTAACAATTTGTTTTATTTGTAATTTATTATCTTTATTATTAGTTTATTGGCATTATCATAGACAATTATTCGAGGATTATAATTTGTTTTTTCTGATATGGATGGAAAATAACATAGTTTGATTTACTAATATTTAGTGTTAATTTGTTAGCCTCCAGCCATAAACAAACCTTCCGTAATTCGTCATTCACGATACGCTCAAGTGCATGAATGTCACAATGAGGGTAAAGCATACTAGTATCATCAGCAAATAAACAAAATTCATAATTGTCAGAAAAGGATGTTATATCGTTAATGTAAAGGAGAAACAATAGTGGCCCTAGAACAGACCCCTGAGGAACTCCATAAGAACAACTAATAACTTCGGAAGTGCAATTGCCGATTAAGAGTGTTTGAGATCGATCACTCAAGTAAGAGTTGAACCAATCATGAATTAGGCCGCGTATTCCATAATGATTCAATTTGGTCAGTAAATTAGAATGATCAACTGTGTCGAATGCTTTTTTCAAATCAGTAAATATATCACAGGTAAATTTCTTTGACTCCATATTCTTGCATATTTTGTCCACAATATCAATAATAGCGTGCTGTGTGGAATTATTTTTCCTAAATCCATACTGGGCAGGAGAAAGTATTTTATGTTTGTCTATAAAACAGATTCATCTAGAATACATTACCCTTTCAAAAATGCGGTTAAAAACTGACAAAAGAGAAATAGGCCTGTAGTTGTCAGGATCATATTGATCACCTGACTTGAATATAGGCACTATTTTTGCCTTTTTCTGTTTTTCAAGTATATTTATTGAGAACATTACATTATATAATTAATATTATATATAATTATATATAATTAATATTATGTATAATTAATATGAACTCAAATGGCATAAGCACAAACGAGACGCGAAGTCCCATGCAAGGTGCAAATCCCGAAGCAGCGAATACGTACATAAATATAAATACACACATACATAAAATACAAATATATAAAAGCCGCTTCCCCCTATTAGTATGCACCATGAACACAACCACCTGAATGCTTCATGGATGTGTTGGCATAATAATTTCAAACTCACAAGCATAATGTGGTTACATTCAGTGAACACAATAAGAGGAACCGTCTATTAAAACTACTTAAGATCTGTGGCAGGGGCAGTCCCGCACCAGTGTCCAGGTGCATGGCATGTCCACGTCAAATGTTGCCGTAACCAAGTTAGCGTAACTGGCTTTAAGGGATCTTTTGAAGATGGAGAGGCTGGCAAAGGTGGTAGAGGGAAGAATTTTGCGGACGTGGTTCCATAACTTGACAAGCCGGTTGAAATATGAGGATTGAAATGTTTTGGATTTACAGAAAGGAATTTTGAGTGTGAGAGAAGGATTTCGACTAAGTCGTGTTCGGCCATTGTTGACAAATGAAACGAAACTATGCACGTCAAGATCAATATGTCCATACAGTGCCTTAAAAAAGAACACTAAGTCTTTTATTTCTCTTTCGTAGCACAGGGCTAATAAGCCAAGGGTTATCAGCCGCTGCTTATATGCAATTTCTCCGCGCTTGGCTTGCAGTATCCAAAAGGTGGCTCTCCTTTGTACACGTTCCACTGTGGATCTCATTTTGATGGTAGGAGGAGACCAGACTTCGGTGGCGTAACTTATCTGGGACTTTACGAGTGACAAGTACAGCGTCCGCCTCACTGCGGTGTTAGTCAGTAGAGGGCAAGTTCTTTTCAGCGTGCCAAGCATCTTGTTCCCTTTGGCGGTGATGGTATGAACATGATCATCCCATGAGAGGTTGTAATTTATGAATACACCAAGATCTTTTTCCTTATTCACACGAGTAAGTTCCTTTGAGCCCATGTGATATGCGTACGTCAGCGGGGTTTTTTTCCTTGTAATTGTCAACACCTTACACTTCGACTCGTTAAAATTGAGGTTGTTGTCACGGCTCCAGCAGTCAAGGTCTGTTAAAGCTTGTTGCAAACTTTCACAGTCACCTACTGATGTGATGGACTTGTACAGTTTGGTGTCGTCTGCATACAAAGCTGCCAAAGTCTCGTCAGGTAATATGTCGGGAAGATCGTTTATGAATATCACAAACAGAATAGGACCCAGGAGACTGCCTTGCGGCACTCCAGATGTAACTGGCACCCAATTAGATGTAGCTCCATCAATCACAACCCTTTGACGACGACCACTGAGATAGTCCGCGAACCATTCATATAAATGACCTGACAGAGTCAAAAGCTTTCGCAAAGTCGAGGTAGATAACGTCAGTTTGAAAGTTTTTGTCAAGGGATTGCCCGATGGCGTGTAGTACCGATAGTAGATGACTAACGCAAGATCGCTGTCTAAGGAAGCCATGTTGTGCTTTTGTGACGAGGTGCCTGACATGATTATATAGTCTGATGCACACGCAACGCTCTAGTACTTTGCCAACGATGGGCGGCAACAATATTGGTCTATAATGTTCCGCCGGTTCTTTAAGATCTTTTTTGTGGACGGGTGTAACATTCACAGATTTCCACTCAGATGGAACATGACCAGTATGCAAGGAACGGTTAAACAACTCATATATGCTTGGTGCGATTTCAAGGGCGCATACTTGTAACAGGCGAGCTGGAATGCCGTCGGGGCCACATGCTTTCGAGGTATCAAGGGCACGCCAAAATTGCGCAACTTCGTCTACATCGATTGTTATCTCCAAGATGTTCTCTTTGCTTTCCTTTCGAGGCGTCTGGTTACACGTGGTAGAAGATGGATGAAACACTGAAGAAAAGTAAGTGTTAAAAAGATCCGCTTTTTCTTTCGCCGTCTTGGCTGTGAAACCATTATATGTTATTTCGTTGTTCTGACCTGTCCGGTGGTGAAGAATTGATTTATGGTAACTCGAGAGTAGTTTGGGGTTGTCACAGAACGAACTTTCTATTTTAGCCAGATAGCCTCGGTGTTTACTTCGAACCAAGTATTTGATTTGATGAGTAACGCTTTGTAATTTACGCTTTCGATCAGCAGATTTGTTCCTGCGGTATTGTTTTAGAACTTTGTACTTCTTACGGATTAGTTGACGCACTTCTTTATCGAAGTTTGGGACACCATTGGTGCCACACTTTCTGATCGACTCGAGAAACTACAAAATAGGGCAGCTAGAGTTATTACTGGCCGTAAAAACGAACACGGTCAATCTGAGCTTGCTCTAGACGAACTGAAATAGAAACCTTTAAGTGAACGCAGAACACATTTCGTAGCAAGTCTTATGTATAAAATAACTCACGAACTGGCGCCAAAACGACTAACCAATATTTTTCAAAGGACGTCTTCCTCTTATTACTATAATATGCGAGGCTCTTCCACCAAACTCTTTTTGCCCAAACCTAAGACTGAATATCTTAAAAAAAGTCTTAGTTATAGAGGAGCAAAATTGTGGAACAGCCTTTCTGATGAAGCAAGAAACAAACATACTCTTGCTTCGTTTTATTCATGTATACGACACCTGGCCAATTAATTAATTAATTAATAAAATAATTACGTTAATTTAATATTGAACAGTACTAACATTAAATTAATTTGTAAATAATTATATACTAGTTGTATTTGTAAATGTATTGTTAACTGTAATGTAATGTAATGTATGACCATAATTTGTATCAATTGTATTTTTTAACTATTTAAATCTACGTCCCCCTTGGAAATCAGCCACCGCTGTAGGGGTTAGCGTATTTAAATAAAGTTTTACCTACCTTACCTACCTACCTATCCATGGTGGACTATTTTTGTCTTTGACAGTTCTCATCGGAATGTCTGTTCTCACCCTGCCCTTTGTCTATAAATTGCTTATAAAAATGTCCTTAATATTCAGCTTGTATATTTGTTTTGAAAATAACTATAAAATTATACCACATGCGAAAAAAATTGAAATTGCATTATTTACAACTAAACATACTCAGGCATGTTAATGCCTGGGCCTGCCCACGCTTGGATAATATCTTGCGCGCGTGTTGCACGCGCGATTTGTCAGTAATGCGTCTGTTAGAATATGCGCCCCTTGTGTGAGTATTTTAGTGAATTCGGGCGTTTGCTTTAATTCAAAATATGGTATATATGAGCGACAGGATTGTTTTGGAATATACAATGCAAAGTAGTCGGTATACTATTCAGTTTTTGTGTAATAGTTGGCGCGTGAATATTATGGCGCGTGAAATTCATCACGCGAAAAACGCGTTCGACTTGCAGCAGGGTAATTTGACGAAATTTTGCTATTTTTATTAGCTAAAAACATTAACAAGGGAACAAAGTTTCTTGCGTTAATTTGGAAGTTGAACATTTATTTGTAGATAACATTTAATGACGCGATTAACATGCGTTCGATGCCGATCCTTGTAATATAGCCGCATAAAATAATGAAACGAAGCCTAAATGTAAACTTTCCAGATTCATTTAATAAACCGTGATATTATGTGTGAATGCATGATTATCGCAATTCCGCGTCCTCTCAGTCACGAATTATACTGCTGCAGAGCCTCTGAATAAAACGTATTATTTTTTGTATTGTTTTTCGAAATATACATCACGTGATCGTTGCCATGACAACGAAAAGCAGGTCAACTTTTAGAATCTCCTTTGATAAATCATATAAAACTTGAATGGTAATAATCAAGGCCATACTTATTTTTTTTGTGATTTTTTGTCTATTTTCGCTAAATACACAAACTGAGACCCAGGCATTAACGTACCTGAGTACACTTGCATACTGTAGGTTTATATTCGAACCAATTTTATGTGATACCATGTCTGACTGTCTCATCCAGCATCCATATCATTCAGGTGGATATATAAGATTTTAATAATTTTTCAGATATTAATGAATGCACTCTTGGCTTTGACAACTGTGGTAGTGAAGCAAGATGTACTAACACCATTGGATCATTCACCTGTCGGTGTAATGTTGGTACTCAGGTGATGGGGTCACGTGTGCAGGTATTTATTAAAAAAAAAATTCAATACATATAATTCCATATATTTACAAATATCAAATTAGATGTATTAGGGCATACCATAAAGCTGCATTCAATTCATTCATTCAATAAATTCAATTCATTCATTTAAGCTGCATTCCAAATGCGCGTGAATATTCCTGAAATGGGTGCCAAACGTTTATTTTGACACAAAGGAGAAACACTACCCTGGGTTGCTAGACACTGAGGTGTAAACTAAAGTATTACTGTTGGCATACACTTGTTGGTGTCTTTGTCTCTCCGGCTCTCCCATGTCTGACCGTCTCTTCCAGCGTCCATATATCATTCAGATGCACATAAAAGATTTTACTAATTTTTCAGATATTAATGAATGCACGCTCGGCATTGACAACTGTGATAGTCAAGCAAGATGTATTAACACCATTGGATCATTTACCTGTCTGTGTAACGTAGGCTACTCAGGAGATGGAGTCACTTGTGCAGGTATGTTTTAAGCTGCACTCCAAACGCTACACTGGATTGCTGGTCACTGAGGTGTAAACTAAAGGATTACTTTTTCAATATGTTTGAAGCGAAACCACGATTATTCATAATAAGATTTTAGACGTTCTCTGGTTTTTAAATATTTGTTATTACCAGCTTTCGACTGCCAGGCCGCAGTCTTCAATGGGTGGATTACACTCTAAAAAAAGGTGTGTTAATTTAATACACCTTTTTGTCCAAATTTTAACACATCTTTAGATGTGTTTTCAAACACACCTTAAGGTGTGTTTAACACAGCTTTTGGCGTGTTTTGTAACACAGCTTAAGGTGTGTTTACTACACTAGGCCTGTTTTTAAACACACCTAAAGCTGTGCTGTATAACACACCATTCAGGTCTGTCATATTTACAGCACGTTGTAAGGTGTGTTTCATAACACACCAAGGTGTGTTATATAACATACATACAAAAGATGCTATATAACACAGCAAACCTAGGGTGCACGTGTATTAGAAAACATATCTACATAATCTTATTAAAAGTAAAATGACATTAGAGACATGCTCATTTGCACAGAGTTTAATCAGTTTATCCATGACAAAATATTTATTTGACACTAACTAAATTACATTTTACATAGCTGAATATGAACTTTTA